TGATGAAGAGGCTTCTTCTTGACCCATCTTGCGTGATATTTCAAATGCCACTATCTTGCCAATGACTATGGTTCGGGTCATGGTACTCAAGTTTTCCATGTTGTGAAGGATAGTGATGATGCTTGCATATTTCTTTTGTGGTAGCACGGAGATGATCTTCCTCACGATGTCCGCATCACCTAGCTTTGTTAATCCTATAGAATTGAGCTCATGGATTATTAGATTTAAAAACGAGAATACATATTACGAACAAGCTCATCATCATTCATTTCAAAAGAAGCATAACTTTGTTGAGCTAGACAATGTTTTTGCTCACGAATATTACTTGTGCCGTCATGGAGCTCTTGGAGTTTTAACCAAATTTCATGTGCCGTATTTAAAGTGAACACTTGGTTAAAAATATCCATGCTAAAAGATTCGAACAAGCAATTTTTAGCTCTAGCATTGAAATGTTTTTTCCTTTTCGTCACTTTTTGTGGGTTTATCGAGATTCTTAATGGGTTTCATCCCGTCACGAGTGACTCTCCAAACTCCCAAATCAACCGTCTCAAGGTAGCAAGCCATTCTAGCTTTATAATAGGAGAAGTTAGTGTCGTCAAAGTGCGGTGGCCTAGAGGTATCCATCCCAACCACTCTAAGTAGCGTCGGCTCAACGACGGTTAAGCCAAAGGTCCAAATTGAGCCAACCGGCTCTGATACCAATTGAAGGGACCATGACGCGTAAGAGGGGGGGGGGTGAATTAGGCAACTTAAAAATCTAACTCTAAACTATGGCCTCTTTTTTTAACCTTAGCAAAACCTATGTAAAAGATAAACTATCTAAATGTGGAACTACGATTTTGCTAGTGTGTTGCTATCTCTACCGCAAAAGGAGTAATACAATTAATGTAAATGCGGAAGCTAAAGAGCAAGGTAGAGATATGCAAACTCTCGTCGATGACTCCGGTATTTTTACCGAGGTATCGAGAAGCGCGCAAGCTTCCCCCTAGTCCTCATTGGAGCCCCTCGCAAGGAATCCCTCGCAAGGGCCAAGCTCCCGGTCGGGTAACTCCGTGGACAGCCTCGGGCCTTCCCCACGCGCAAGTGGGTCTCCGACGTGCCTTCCGGCAAGCCTCTCCCGGATGCTCCCCGCCGTCTTTACTATCAAGCTTCCGACCGAAACGCTGCGGGCCTTGTTCCCTCTGGTAAACGGCGGCGGCCACACCACAAACGCGGTTGGTGTGATCTCGCAAGACTACAAGCCCCTCCGATGTACAACAATGGTGCACGCAAGCACCGAGTGGTAAGAGGTATGTAAACCTCACTAAACACTAGGCCTAAACCTAGAGCAAGTGCATGAGCGGTGGTCTAATCAACCTAAGCACTTCGCAAAGCACCTACGCTAATCATCTAATGAATCACTAAGCTCTATGCAAGTGGAGATCACTAAAATGGTGTATCAACACTCTTGGTATGTTTCCTCAACTCCACTCCACTCAAATGGCCGGTTGGGGGTCTATTTATAAGCCCCACTGAGAAGTAGCCGTTGGGGACTAAATCCCGCTTTTCTGCTACTGACCGGACGCTGATGTCGTCCTGACCGGACGCGTCCGGTCATCCCGACCGTTGGAGCCGCGATCAACTGATCGGACGCTTCCAGCGTCCGGTCACCTACCACCGGACGCGTCCGGTCGCAGTTTCGCCGCTCTGGAACCTCTCTGTACTCGACCGAACTCTGTTGTCCTGCGTCCAGTCGATCTACCGCCAGCGTCTGGTTGCGCCTGTTGCCGAGCCTCTTGATCGGAGCGTCCAATCACTTTCTTCCAGCGTCCGGTCCATCGTCCGGTCACTTCTGTGAGCTCGTTTCTTCGCGATCTTGCATACGGCTTGGTTCCTATCTTCATGCTTAGACTTTGGTTGATATCTTGGGTCTTCTCTTGTGCTCCTAAGGTCTTGCTTGAGGTGTTGATCATCGGATCATCACGTCGCCTTTGTCCAAGTCACGTCTTGCATCCTTTTGAACTACAAAACAATCACTTGCAAATTCATTAGTCCAATTTGGTTGTGTTGGTCATCAAGCACCAAAATTCAAAGTAAATGGGCCTAGGGTCCATTTTCCTTACAGGCTCTACTCCAGGGAAGGGAGGATCCGTCATTTAAGATGAGGCTACAATGGAAAACCATAGGTGCTTTGATGGAAATATTTCCAGTGACATCCTAGGGCTCCCATTAGTAGTTGACCCCCCAATTCACAAGCATTCTTCTAGCACCTCGATCGAGTAGCCATCACTACATCTGAGTGTTGGTTGAAGCTCATGCGAAGAGCCTTCTCCCAACATTGTCGCAGGAGTCGATGAGGTTGAGAGGAGGACACCATGATATACACTTGAGAGGTCCCTAGACTCAGGAATCTCAAGGAGGAAGAAGATGTGGTGTACTTGGAAGGGTCAAGGCCACATCTAGCTTTATAGCCCAAACTTGAGGATAGGGTAGGTGGACCGTAGGTTCGGATCTGTAGCTCCCGGGAGTCATAAGCGTAACAGGCAGAACGGGGAAGGTATGGCACATCGGATTCCCTGACTCATTTAACCTTACCTTTAAGCAGAACCTAATGATGCGTAGTATTTGGGAGTCTAAAAATTGTAGCTTCAGAGAAGAAACCGATGGACAGAGCTATCAATTAGGTCATCATGAAAGTCCTTGGTGGCTCCTGTCGATTATATAGACCCGGAGTACCTCATCGCCTGTATTAGAGACCATTTACAGACGGGGTGGGCCAAGGCAACCGATTGTAAGGCCCAACCCAGACGGGATGCATCACCAACTTGGAAAGCAAGTTACCGGCCAAATGGGACCTGGGGATCAAGATGTACCTAAAATAACCGACATACTCAATAGATTTCTTTGAAACCGATTAGGAAACTTGCATTTCAACCAAAGGGATCCTTGACCATATAAGGTGAGGTAGGGAGACCCCATTCGGTATCCATTAGTAACCCAACCAAACTAGGCAATTAGACTCGCATAGCCATCATTGTCCCCTTTGTAACCTTGAACATTTGAGATAAGAGAGCTATTCTCCATTCGATGTGTACTTGAACCAGTATAAATCTATGTCCCGTGTGCTACCCATCTGATTCCCTACGTGCGATTTGTTGATCTTCATTGCTGGAGATAATCCATCCGACAACACTCTAGCGTGTTGAAGTGAGTGTAGTCCCATTTGGCACAGCTCCTCCACTAGCTCTAGGAGCTGTTTGGAGTTGTTTTGTGTCAAACAGAGTAAAATGAAAATAGCGCCACCTGAGGAGCTCCTTAAAACGTGCTCTCACAAGGGATGGATGAAAGATAGAGCTAAAAAATACTAGTAACTTCTCCCACGTCCCACTGGTGGGTTGTGCGTATGTGAGAACATGTTTCAAGAAGCTCTACATGTAGAGCTATTTTGTCAAACAGTTCACTAAAACAGCTCCAGCTCCACTAATAGAGTTGTTTGTGGAGTTGAAACAAAAAACATGGCTTCACTGGTGAAGTGGAGATGTACCAGGTAAAAATGATATGTATCCATTTAAGCTTTGTATCCTATTATATTAATAATATGGTATGTTTATTACCTGAATTCAAAATATAAAAGAATTAAACTTTAGGTAATAACCTTGTCTTGATTCACAAGAATTCATGTGTGACCTAGATATACTTTAACAAGTCTTTTTTACCTTTTATTTTATGCATAGAAAATTATACAAGTTATATATGGGGTGTTTTTTTTTTTGGCAATAGCTTCAACCAGCTAACTGTATTATATCTTGATTTTTTACCTGTCGCTACACACAAGGGAATATGTTCACATTGAGTCATGCACAATTATAGCACACAATAACAACGCGGGTTAGACATCCTATTTGGATTAGATCAAATCTCTGTTCGCTTTTTAGTGTAAAATCATCCAAATAATATAATAACATTGGACTAGGTTAAACGTTTTCATATACGCATTTTGCTGCCCAAGTTATGTCGAACAAGAGCTGTGCAGCTTAACGGCTCGTTCAGTTAGCTCATTCCAGATTCAAAAACTATTCCAGGTTTACATGCTTATACAAATTAAGCTAACTGTTTCAGCTGAATTCTTTTCAGGGAGTCATTTCCGATAACCGAACGCAGCCTAACCTGTCTAGCGAGCTCGGGCTAGGCCTGTGTTGGTCAGGTATATCCCTGATTTCTATCCCCAAACACTGGCCTCTATGTTTTAAGTGTTTGCAGAGCTCTATTGTGCATGCATTAATAAAGAAGGAAGTAGAGGTAAAAAGTTAAACATACCGTTTTATATACAAGGAAAAAAAAATGAAACCGACACAAGCCATTTTGCTTTCAAAAGCAGGAGATTTGATCTGATAAAGGGTTACCTGACTCGTCCGAACAACAATCACTAAGTCAGACAAGGACAGTAAGTTTTGATCCAAAACTTGATCTAATCTGAAAAACTTGACCCAACACAATCCAAAAGAATTAACTTATGGTTAAATTCAGATCAGCTTCATGCGAAAAACATATCAGTTTTTCTGGCCCAAACTAACACTCGTATATGCATGTCTAAAGGAGATGATTGGGCTAGTGGCCCATAAGGTCATAACCGCGGCCTGCCCTTTTGTTTCCCGGCATACTCTCTCTCTCTCTCTAGTTCTCCCGTGCCCCTTGTCCTCGTTTGCGCTCTGTCTGTCTCTGGTGGCGCCGCCGCCGCCGCCCTACGCCAGGTGCTGAGAGTTTTGCCGGCGACGAGCACCCACCAGGTACGCCCACCCCTTCTCTTCTGTTCCTGCTGTGCGAAACGAAGCACCCAAACCCTGGGTCTGCCGCTGCGCATAGTGTCTCGAAGCCTCCCCTTCCCCTCCCTCTTCCTGTTGGGCGCCCTCGGCCGGCTTGCCCCGCCGGTCCGCCCTTCCACAGCCGTACCTGACTCCCCGTCCTCCAGCGCTAGGCGCTGTCTGTGCAGCTGCGTAGCCGGAGCCCCTGAGCTCCGTCGGATGCCCGGGCTGCTGGTGCTGGCGGCCAACGCCACTGCGCAGTGCGTGTGCGCCAGTGCCTGCCGGCGGCCGACCCCCGTTGTTGCTTTGCGTCTCTTGCTCGCCTTCTTTACAAGGCTGCATCTCTAGTGAGTAAAATGTGGCGAATAGACTGGATGTTGGCGCATGCTTGAAATTGGTGATTGACTGAATTGTGAAATGTGAATGGGTTAGTTGGTGGACAGTACTAGAGAATAAGGACGAAGGTTTCCATATGCCTGAAATTGCTGATCGATGGATTGTGAAATGTGAATTCGTGTTTCAACATAGGATCTGGGCCTAAGGCCCCTAGGGCCCAGGCCCTAGTCGTTGGCCCAAGAGCACCCTATACCCCATATAGTTTATGGCCCAGAAACAAAGGCCCAGCAAGAAAAGACTAGGGCCTGCTGGCTGGTTGCTGCCCTGTTACCATTATTCGGCTTCCTTCCCCCCCGACCGCGCCTGAAGCCCGACGCCGCCACCATAGTACTGCGCCGCGCCGTCACCGCGCCACGCGCCCACGCTGCGCTGGCCGCCGAGGTCGCCGCTCCTGCCTCCGCCACTGCCCATGCCCTAGGCACCCACCGCGTCACGCCCGAAGCCCGAAGGGTCGTCGGCCTTGCCAGGTGGCCAGCCACTGCTGCGCCGTCTGCCGTGCGCGCCTGCATCACGTTAGTGCAACACTGCAGCATCGGGTTAGTCTTCTGATGCGTGGAATCCAAATCAATATGTTTGCTGGCCGGCGAGAGGGTGCTCCATCAGACATCAGAGTTTGTTGTGTATGTGCAAAAGGACGCTCTTGGAAGATTATGCTTTCAGGATTCTTTATGGGACATTGTAATTGTACAGGCTTACAAACTGACAGGCTGATAGGAATACTTCAAATATTTTATGTAATATTGAAAATTTGTGTCAAATTGTGAATCGGTAAAGGAAATGTTAAAGTTGCATTTCTTCTGTTAATGCACACATTTTCGTCTAATTTTCAGCGATTTGTGCTCATAAAATTTTCTTTTTTCGCCAAATTTTGAACAAGTTTATTGGAGTCAATTCTGTGCTCATAATAATCAGTTTTCACCACTAGATATAGGCCCTAGTCATAAGTAAATTCTGGATCCGCCACTAAACATATCTGCATATGATTGGGGCTTAGGACTGATCACTGATGTGCCTTTTTTTTTTGCTTGTTCTCTATAAGACCTTATCCTATGTTTCAACAATTTAATTGCCATTTGTGTAAGTTTTGAACTTTTCTGTTGAATTTAAGGTATCATGAGATCTTTTAGATACACTATCTTTAGGTACCAAACCGTTTACCAAATTTTGTATTGGATTATACAGTGTTGCATAAGGGATTTTTTAGTTATATAGGCATACCCTTGGGTCTGCCACTGATTGGTTCGTGATGATAAACATGGGAGCTTAATGTTTTATTCCGTTCCGGAGTCAAAGCAATTTGAAACCTCTCATTTTGGTTGGAATCTGTAGATAAATGCAGTGCTGAAATTGATGCTTACTCACACCAGTCTGCTCCTCAGGTTTTGCAGGTTTCACACTTCTTATCATGGACGACAAGAGCAAAGTCAAGAAGGAAATAGATGGCCCCCTTGGACCCCCTCCTCGAAAGGTTGGCATTTCCTTGGTCATTCGTTATATAGTTTGGCTCTATGCTATTCTTACTACTGTTGTTCTTGTTTTTTTGAAAATGTAAGGGAGGGCTTAAATTCGCACCAAAAGTACCTCAGAAGAAACCTGCCAAGGTTGTCCCAAAGAAGTATGCGATTCAGTCTACATTTTATTTCTCCTTACTTGGATGTCTTCCATTTGAGATTTGCAGAATTGGCAATTTTGATGTGGAGTGAGATTTTACTGTAACTTGACAGGGAACCAGTTGAGGAGAGCAAGGAGGAAGCTGTGGATAAGGAGTTGTTGATGAAACTTAAGATGTCGCAGGTACTGATTGTTCTCTTTGGTTCTTTGGTAGTTATTTGTGTTTACAAACTTTTCATTTGAGAATTGGTTGATGTATACAGTATCTTGCCTCATTTTGCAGAACAAGTATCCCTCTGCAAGAATTAAGTCCGAGGAAAAGAGTAAGAATGCTGGTTTTTGTTCACCACATGCTTTATAGTCTAAACCTTATCGCTACCTGTGAAAATTGTAGTTTCTACTTCCTACTCACTGAGCATGCTCAAGGCTACTGTCATCAATTGTTATTGATTAGCCACTTAGCATTTTCTGGTCTGTTTTACGTTTTTAGCTTTAATAAATATATCTAAGTATGAATCTTTGAGGCTGTCGATTGAACACGCTTGATTGATTCCTTACCACTTGATAAAAACTGCCAACATAACAACTGCATATGTCGTGCACTTATATGAGCAAGAGCAATCTTATCTACTATGTTATATACTTAGCTTCTGTACTTCACTTGAAAAAAGCATTTTTCTGCCAATAATCCTAAAAGAATATTTGTTACAACGTTGCGAGTAGTTTTGAGCTGATAAAATACATTTGGTTTGCATCTATGTATGATGATGTGCTCTGAGTTGGCTAACTATAATTGTACGCTTTGGTTGCGAGATTCATCACTATTTAATACAGGGACATACTTCTGCATTAGGTTGTCTTAAAAATGCATTGTGCAGAGCATGTACCAAAATTTTTATTAGATAGAATTGCAGTTTAGTACATATAGTATAAAAGGGTAACCAAGGTTTTTGTTACAAAGAAAATACTCTCTCTCTCTGTTTGTGTGTGTGTGTGTTCTTGCTTAAGTGTTATCGATTATTCATTATAACTATAAGGCTTTTCTTTGGTGCTTATAATTATACATTTTTTTTTTGTAATTTTAGTGATATTTTTATTTTTGTTCTGTTGCACACCTAGCTAACAGTGTATTGCTCTGTTGGCGTAGCAAAAAGTGGTACACAGGTTGCATTTGGACAAGGAAACTCTTCTTATGCAAGATATTTTCCCATGCCCAAAAAGGATTCTTCAGCAGGTATCAGTGAAAGATATTTATCTTCATTGCTCATGACTTGAACCATCCCATACAGATTGCTGTTTTTGGACCTTAACACCCTTGTTTCCATTGCATATTCAGGTGAAGCTTCGAAGTTACCAAAAGAATATGCAGAACCATGGGTGTGTAAATATCAAATTACTAATGTGGATTGCTTCCTCTTCAGAATTATTCATTGATTTCCTTTTTTTTTTTTTTGCAGGACTATAGCCATGATTATCCTGTTACTCTCCCACTAAGGATGCCCTACTCTGGAAATCCTGGTATATTGATAGTCTTCAGTCGAAATTTCAAGAGATTTTCTTCAACCGACCCTTACACCCTTCCTACATCGCTGACACAGAAATTCTGGATGAGGGAGAATTTGGAGAATCTTCTGCCAGCAGGGCTCAAGGTGCTAAATTATCTGCAGCAGAAGAGCTTGGATTAATGGTATGTATCCATGCAGATTCAACACCTTTTTCACTTCTGGTTATGAAATATTTTCATCTGCACCACCAATTGATGTGTACTTTTCACTTATGCCATCAGTCTATGTCAGTGACATGCGGGACCAGAACGCATGTATCATTGACTAGCTTGGTGGCATAGTTGAATGCCCCCCAATGAGTATGGATTAAAATTCCCCTCTAGTTGTCGTATACACAGGGTTTACTTTGTAAGGTCAATTGTATAGACCAAGTATACCAGCTTGATTTTTCAGGCATTGTTGATCTTGCCTGGTATGCTTGTTTTGTGTTGATAGGATCGGGCGGCGGAATCACAGTTCGTCTTCTTCCAGTTTCCATCCTCTCTTCCTTTACCGAGGCAGCCACAATCAGTTGCTGACCCTACTGTAGTCTCTGATAAGAGACGTGAGGGCATGAGGCCATTATCGCACATTGGCTCAAAACTCAAAGAGATTCCTGAAGGCTATATGGGGAAAATACTCGTATATAGGAGTGGCAAAGTGAAGATGAAGATCGGAGACGCTCTCTTTGATGTGAGGATCGAAACTTGAAGATGTCATATTTTCTGTTTAAGGTTTTCTATGCAGTACTGAAGTCACATTAACAAACTGTGCAGGTTTCATCTGGCTCGAATTGCATGTTTGTCCAGGAGGTTGCAGCAATCAACACCAGAGAAAAACATTGCTGTACGGTGGGGGAGATCAGCAAGCGTGCTGTTATCTCCCCAGATATTGACTACATGTTGGGTTCTGTTGACAAGATGGAAGAATAGTCCATTGGTTCCTTTAGAGCAAACCATGACCATATTATGCCACTACAAGGGAGTTTTGCTTCTTATAGAGAACAACCTGTGATACCCTTTCAGACCTACTTCTTGGAGAAAAGATGTCTCAAGACAATAGTTTTGAGTTCCAACAAAATGAATTCATAAAGAAGAGTTAGACACAAAGTATCAAACAAAGAACAGCCACAAATAGGTAAGTGCTGAATGGAGGGGGTGGGGATAAACTATTGAATTTATGAAGATTCTGTGCCCTTTTCGGTTCCTTTGGATACTTTTTGTAAGTGAAGATTGATATCTTTGCTTGACGTCGTACATAGATAAAGATAGTTTTCTTCGTTGTTTTACTAGTGGAATAGGGAAAACAAAAAAAGTTCCTTATTTGACTTCCAAATATACTTTTTTTGCCTAATTTGACCCGGGAAAAAATTCTCCCCTGTGTGACTTTTTTTTTGGCCTAATTTGACACTACCAAGTTTCCACAGCAAACACCGTTATCCGTCAATGACTAGCAGAAAGGATCATTTTGTCTCTGATGTCTATGGCAGTAGCTTGAGACGTCAGCAGCCTTAGGATGTAGAGCAATTTGATTATTGCGTTGCGTTGTTTTATCTGTCTACTTAGTTGTCAGATCCGGCGGAAACACCCGAAATGGAAGCCAACAGAGGGTGTGTTTGGTGTGTGTCATCTGCTGACCAAGTTAAAATGAATTAAGATCTTGTTCGGATATAGTCGGATTCGTATCAATACACATATGTTGGGGTGGATTAGAGTGAAACTTGCATTAAATTCCATCCTAATACACCCCCAACACATGTGGATTGAGGTGAATCCGACGACATGCAAACAAGGGCTAAAGTGGCCAAGCCGGGTTGCGAAGCTAAAATTTGGTATCTGGCCAAATGGTGACCAAAATTTGTTCAAGTAGCCAAAATTTGGTTTGGCCAGCGTGGGCACGAAACCGACCCAAAAATCAAGTTTTGGATTAATTTGACATGCAGGTATTAGAGAACGTCGGATACAAATCTGACTTCTATATGAACAATATAAAATACATATAAAAGATAACACAATAAGCATAAAAGTCGGATGTGGCACACATGCTGACATGCAACTTAAGTTTCGCAGGTAAAACATTGATGATAGTTACAGAGAGAATCTAAAACTAAATTTAAAGCATACCGAACAAAGAAGAAATTTACAGTAGTATTCTGCGAAAATTACATTTGATAGGAAACTGTCTTCTGTCAGTGAGCCTGTTCGCTGGTTGGTTTCTGAGCTGATAAGCCCGGCTGGTGCTGGTTTGTTGTGAGAGGAAAAAACACTGTTGGCTGACTGATAAGCCCTGGCTGAAATTAACGAGCGAACAGACTGAATGAGTACAAGCATTAACGATTAAAATACATTAGCCGAACACAACTAGACAGGTGGGTTCAGTTTGCTTCACTGAAGGCTGCAGGTCCTGATGCTTGTTCTAAAACGGTACATTAGAAATACAGAAATGCTGAAATATAAAAGAATTCACTAATTACATCGGATATACGTATAAAAGACGTCACAATATAGATTGTGTAAATGCTAGCACAGGTAAACCGAGACTAAGATGTCAAATGAACCTTGACTGCAAAATGAACAGAGCCAGGGAGCTTTTCCTAATGATATATTGATCTGAAACAATAAGATGAAGATGATATAGATTAAGGAGATGAAAGTTTCCAACTAAGATTCTGACTCTAATCTGTTATTTATATACACTTGATTTTTTTGGTGTGTTTAGTTTAGTGCCCAGGCCAGGTTGTCGTGGAGGCGTCAAGCATGCCAAAGGGCTGGCATGTTTGGTCTTATTAACCCTGGGCATTTAAGTTGCTTGTGACCTTTTGTTAAAAAAAAAAGTTGCAGGTGACATGCCTGTTTCTGTTGGTAAAATTGCCTGGTCAGGCATACTCTAATTTCATAGCTTTGATTGGTTGAAGCCCTGATATCTTTGCCTGTGTGAAGGGAATGGCAAGCAGTGTTTGGTTCAGCAGATGCATTGTTTGAATTAACATTGAGTTCGTCACATCTTCTTGATCTGTAAAGAATTTGGCGTTGCTGCACCAGATCAAAGGGCAAGTTCAAGCCTTTTGCATTCGACTAAAAGCACAGTGAAGAAGTGGAAACCAAAAGTGCTTGAAGGCTAGGATCAAAACTGGATCGATTTTATAGAGAGAAGAACCATTCCTTGTACACATCATAGGAAAAATGGCAGATTTTGCCCAGGTGGGAATAAAGAACAAGAAGATAAATAAAAACAGTAACACAAAATCTCATGTTATTGCAGTCACAGTTAGTATCCAGATAGAACTAGTGTTGTCTTGTAATAATGGGGAGTAAAAGACGAAATCGAGGCCATTACAATTCTTCGAGTTTGGAAAAATGCCATTACAATTCGTCTATTCGGAGATATGCCATTATAATTCCATCTCTCATACGTCTATGCCATTTTCTATGACTGCTGCATACAGGGGCCCACTGTCAGTTATGTATGCATATACGAATACATACGGACGTCAAAGTCACCGTCTCCTCCGTCTGACCGAGCCCGCTATCGCTCTCTGCTAAATCACCGCTGCAGCGCTGGCTGCCGTCGACGTATGAGCCTTGCGTGGTGTCCGCCGCGGGCGATAGCTGCTCCGCTCATGTGCAGGCCGTCGCGGCCGAGCGCCTCCGGCCCCCATGGGCAGTCACTGGCACGGGAGAGTTGTGCGCCCTCTCCATCGACGGCGACACGCGCAGTCGACAGGCTCCTGGCCGGCGCCGCGCTGGTGCGCATGGAGGCCGCGCTGCAATGGCACGCTGGCAGCCCCGCGGCGCGGCTAGCCGACTCTTTTGATGAGGCTGCGGGGTCCGGCGCGGGAGGCGTCCTGGCAGCCCTGCTGTTCGCACGCGGGCGACCTATGTTCAACGCTCATGAGGCGATGGCGTTCCTCCTCTGCCGCGTGCGACGTCGAACACAGCGAAGCGGCGTCCGCGGCGACAGTAGCTTGGGTCAGGAGCTTGCTCGACAAATCTTCTTGGTACGACGTCAGGAGCTGAGGAGCCTGCTCGATGAATCTTCTTGGCGTGGGGTCAGGAGCTGTGGATGGCATGCTGTAGAGGATTCGGAGGCGGACCACGGGCGAGCGCTGCCGCTCCACTCACGCGCAGGTCGCTGTGGGCTGTTTGTCCGCAGCGGGTGGACTCGGTTTGACGGAACAGGCGGGGGACTTTGACATCCGTACGAGTTCCTATACGGATGCGTACCTGACAAGTGGACCCTTATACATGGCAGCCGTAGAAAATGACATGGATCGAGGAGACATGAAATTATAATGACAGATCTTCGAATAGGCGAATTGTGTGGGGGTATTAACCCCTATACCCTTACGGCTAAGCTTGGGCCGACCCGGATCGATGGGTCCGGTCCATCCGAAAGACGACGCGCGGCCCAGCCAACCTAGTTGGAGTTCTGCGCAAGGAGTTAAGGCGGATTTGGCGATCAAGCAGGATCCTGGTCGGTTAGAATAGGAATCCTTATCCGGCCGCATATGACAATTGTAACTGGCTAGGATTAGTTTCCAGATCTGTAACCCTACCCCCCGGACTATATAAGGCGGGCAGGGGATCCCTCTAAAAAACATCTCTCATTAACAGACATCAATACAATCAGACGCAGGACGTAGGTATTACGCCTTCTTGGCGGCCGAACCTGGATAAAACCTCGTGTCTGTCTTGCATCACCGTCTTGTTTGTGGCTTGAGCATCTGTCTGCCGATAATCTACTACCTTGGGCATACCCCTAGGTAGACTGCCGATCATATTTCGTCGACAGTGGCGCGCCAGGTAGGGGGTGTGCGTACTGCTCTCCAAGCAAACAAGACGGTCATCACCTCCGGCTCCATGGCTAAGCCGAACGGCCTCACGTTCACCGTCGGCCAGATCACCTGGACCATCGGTTCCGACGGCTTCATCGTCATGACCACGGAGGAGGCGTGGATTCAGTCTGCGCCGACCACTGCTTCACCTACATCGGCTACGGCTCCGACCACGATGGATCTGGCTCCGACCACGGTACGTCTGGCTCCGACCACGATGGATCGGGCTCCGACCATGGTACGTCTGGCTCCGACCACGATGGATCTGACTCCGACCACAGTACATCTAGCTCCGACCACGCCTACATCATCTTCAGCCACGCCGACGACTCGTCGTCCACTTCCCCGCTACAAAGGGAAGCAGATCGACAACACCGACCTGCTCAACTCCATCGATCGGGTCGGCACCAAACTCGCTGAAACCCTAGCTCTGGTAAGTACGATTCAAAGTCAACCTAACGAGCAGGTAACCGCTCCCCACAACAGATCTACCCGACCATCTCGGACCAGTCGTCCTGCACGACTTGGTACAGATCTCGTGGTCTTATCTACTCCTGAAGGGCGCTCCGCTCATCGCCGGCCAGCCTCTGCGACGGGTCTCCGGCTCTCCGAGTACGCAGCCTCGACGGAGAACCACCAGGTCCAGCCTTATGGCCTGCGAAACGCTGCCTCCAGCTACGCGTATAACCCACAACGCTGCTTGGATCTATGTTTTATGCACCGACCTCGGCCGAAGCCGCGCGACTTCGTCAACATGATCCGGACTGAAGATTATCAGGAAGGATCCGTCCACACAGTTCAAGAGGGCGACTCCACCTCCTCATCTGGCATCGCATCTAAAGCATCTGTACACACCGAGCTTCAGCATCACGAAGACGACGGCACCAAGTACGATCTGGATCTGCCAGACCACGCTCCAGGGTTTTCACAATTCCCATCTTTCCCGCCAAGACGAGGGGATTTGATCCATGTTGTCAGCAATGACGAACCGCCGGCGGTTGGCGAAACAGAACAAGAAAACCACCACGCGCGCCTTTAATATTGACCGGTTCAATCGCCGACAAATCGAAGCCGGAAGCGGACCCGGGAGGCGCGACG